CAGAATGTTAAATAACAGACTTTGCAAAAAATTTAGAACCAATAACTGCAATAAGCTTGACATTAATAGTGAGTCTCCAAGATGTAGAACCATCAGTATTGTCCAAGCTTGACATGCTTCTTGAAAGCCACGGGAAGTTTATCTAACCCAACAATCAAACCAAAAAAAATTGTCCCTGCGTAGGCACGACTTTCACTTGCTGCTGCTGTGTCTGCATATGAACATGTATCACCATTATACTACAATTTTAGCAACTCAACAGAAAATACACAATTTTTGCAAGACCAAATTAATAATCACAATTTCTTCACAAGGCTACAGGATGGTTACTCTGGAGCATTTTTCACCACAAAATGGGACTGATAATCAACATTTAAACTTGATAATTTGCTTTCTTTGCAATGCAGATTATTAAAGGCATTCAAACTGACCGCAATAGGTATTAAAGGCATTCAAGCTTAAAGGAAATTGAAACAAAAGTGACTGCTTGCACTGATAATCTGCTTTCTTTGCTGGTTGCTTTGACTCAACAATAAAATTTTGCACCATCATTCAGACAAACCTATCGAGAGCATTTACCATGAAACTACTACAAAGTATAACAAAAGAAAGACAGAGATTGAACATTATTTGTTTTGCTAAGAAAAAAGGATAATGGTTAGTTTCAGTCAACAACCAAAATATTTAGGCCAAATGATTATACAGCAATTGCAGAGTTGTGTGTTACAATCCAAGAGCAATTGCAGAGCTCTAACAACTCAACAATGGCAACAAAGGTTTTGACTCAGTCAATTTCTCACATTTTTCGACTTGGTAACACCTAATCTTTGCTTCAAATCCCACAATTTCACTTTATCATCTTTAACATAAGAATTAGTTAAATTTGAATATCTGTCCGCTCACAGCAATACAACAATAACAGAGACGTTCCGCTCACATCAATACCACAAATCTGATCATTGGAATTCAAATTTACACTATTTAACCTCAATAAAATGATTTGTAGTGAACATACCTTTTTAGGTGCTAGGAGCCTGATTTGTATGAGTTCTTGAATTGGGAAAAAAAAATCAAAGACAAACCCGTGCTCCCTTTTGCTGGATTTCAGACCCGTCTTCAAATGGAGCTGGGAAAGAAGATGTGGGAGTTCTGTAATTCAAATTTACACTATTTTACCTCAATAAAACGATTTGTAGTGAACTCACCTTTATAGTTGGAGTCTGATTTGTATAAGTTATTGAAATCTGAAAAAATTAGAGACGACCCCATGCTTGTTGGATTTCAGACTCGTCTTCGAATGGAGCTGGGAAAAAGATGTGGGAGTTCCGTCTTCTAACACACAGGAAAATGGGAACGATGGGAAGAAATCGGAGACATCATTAATCGCTAAAAATGAAGGTCAAAACCCGTGCTGGATTTTAGTGCCAGAAATTCGAGATGTGTGCGAGTTACGTTTTCGATCGGCAAGACTGCACAGGTTTCTTGGGCGCGGGTATTTTTGTTTTTGGTTGTAAGAGGAAAATGGGTTGTAAGGGGAGATGTGGGTTTCCCTCTAAAAAGAAGAGAGAGAAAAGAGGGCCACATCCAAATATTTTGAATCCTTGTTTTTGAGTTGGTTTCCAACCTTGTGCAAGTAGCATTTTCCTTTTGTAAATGGAGTTAAATGTTTCATTAGCCACTGAACTTTGAACTATGTCATAGTTTACTCACTGAACTTTCAAACTTGTTCCATTGGCCACCAAACTTTGATCCGTTACTGCCCATTACTCACCGGGTCAGATCCGTTAATTGACGAATCCACGTGGCTGACGGAAAACCCAACTGGCCGGTTAAATCCCAACAATTGTAAATGACTTGCCAAATAATCAACCACATCATCATTAAAATCACGCCTCTCGCCTTCACACTACACATCCAGCGAAGAGAAGCTCGAAAGAACCATACAATCCCCAAATCGAATCCTTGAGCTCGAAATCAAGGTACTTTCCGTCGTTGCTAACTACTTAAGAAGGTAAATCTCGACATCTTCACTCAAGAACCCTAGGTTAGAGTTTATCCTCCAATATCCGTCAAACCCTTAGATCTTGAAATCATTCTGAGGCAAAGTCTTGTGTGTTCCGAAATTTCCCTGAATTCATCTGAGCAAGCGGCAGTATCTCGAATCAAGTAAGAAGAGATGCTCGTTTTTTTTTATTATTTTGAAAATTACACAAATGGAAATGTTGGAAACGGGATTGAAATCATAGTGCTTGTTTTTTTTGTAGAATTTGTGTACCCAGATCAGTTACTGGGTATGAGCCAAGGTCATAAATTGTAGATGTCCATGTATGCTTTGCTTGTGTTGTTTGTTGGAAACTAAAAGGATGAATATCATCTCAACATGTTGGTATAATGCAGTTTGCACAGTTACTGGTTTCTATTTTCATGGTTGCAATAGCATTGATTGATAATCACCCATTTACTATGTGGAATGAACATGATTACTGATGTTTTCTATTTTCTTGGCTGCACTAGCATAATATAATAGGAGGAAAGAACAATGAGATTTGTCATGGTTGTAGGAAGCCAGACCACTACTCGTGGGATTGCCTGACAAAGAAACCATGCCCAGTATGTGGCAAGAGAATTCAGAAATGCATGGAGGTTGAAAGGAGGACTAAAAACTTAGGACGGCTGTTCTTCTGCTGAAGCATGTTGCTAAAATAACCGAAGAAAAGGATGTAGATATCTCTGTCAAATTTTATTTCCGCAAGGGAAAAGGAGGAGCCCCATGAAATTGTAGTCGTTATGTTATTGTCAAGTTTGTGTAAATCACTGATTTATAACTGTTGGTGGACGTTGGAATGTACGCTAATCCCAGTGTAATGAAACTTATGTTTGTAATTTGAATGTTTTTATGCATCAAACTTTGTAATGGAAGTGCAGATTAATCTATCATTATTGTACTATTTTATTATTAGTTAAGTGATTAGTGTGTTCAAATCTTTAACAGATTGTTTTGATATAAAAGTGGGAAGCAATGACAGTGCCTGTGTATGTGCTGAGAAGTGTTGCTGCTATAATAAGAAAACGCTTGGATTAGTTATATTTTCTCTTCACATCAATGTCATCACAATGAAGCACCATCCATAACGTTATAAAACCAATGTTAAATTCCACTATAATTTTCCACATCAAAATGACATAGTTCGTACACCACAAAAATAGCTTCAACCTGTGCACAATGCCAATGTCATTAGACAAAATGATAGAAATATATTTGACTACACTAACAGAAGCTACCACGAAAATATACTTGGTCGTCCTTCCCCTCCCGCTTCTTGGAACCAAGTCAGATCAACATACCTCGTCAAACATATGTTGTCGTCAAAAAACAAAAACATGTATTCTTGCTGCCAAAAACACATTATCAACCAGAAAAAAAGATATGTACTCTGCTTCTGTCAAAAAATATGCGGCGACAGCTTTGGTAAAAAAACACAGGAATGTTATCAAGCATTTGGTCCTGCCGATGTACTTTGCTTCATGCGTTGTCGTTTTTGTGCCCTCGACACTCTCTTATGGCAGATTCTGCATTCTCCATGTCAACCAAGTCATCAACGACATTGTCAAAATTTACATAATCAGTTGGAACATCAACAGGAACAGATGGAGTGCAAATTGTTTTTGCTGGACCAGATTTGAGTCCACGTGTCCTCTTTCTGTTCGGGATGAACTTCATCTTTTCGGGGGTCCAATCCAATTTCAATCCCCTCAGTTACATTTCTTTCGTATTCAATGTCATCTTGTTTGGACTCAAAGTCGTGTTCGGAATCAATGAAGTCTGGATCCTGCTCGCACTCTGTCATACAATTGGTAAAAGTCATTAAGAATAAGTGCATATGATCAAAATTTAAGCCGGAAAAAATAAAAATAAGCATCAATAGTCAGAGTTCAACAACAAAATCCATAATTTTCTTAATCTTTCTGTTGAGAAATAAACCGAAATATATAACACTGCAATGTAATGTTCATAGTCAATAAAGGTTCATTAGCACCGTAATGTTCTTAGTCAGATATACTAATACAAATTTAAACTCGGAATCACCTAAAAAAATTAAACAATACAGCTGATTTAAATAATCTACATAAGAACTTGTTTCAGAAATACCTTCAGGTGAACCATCCGTGTACAAGGCTTCAACAATGTTCAACAATGACTGTTTCTTTGTTCACAGCAACCAAGTATATCGATTAGGGTTCACACCCTCGCGACATAGAACCGTTCAATTTGGGAGAAGTAGATGTGCCGCTTAATGGTTCGATTCGGGGGAAATTTAATTTGGGCGAAACGAAATTCAAGATTACGGGTTCGATTTAGGGATATGGATTTGGATTTGGATTTGGGGGTAATCGATTGCAGGTGAAAGTCGGTTTTCTCAAATTGGATTTGGGGTGCTTGGAGTTGGATGAGATTTTTGCTTATTTGGCGATGATTTGGCACTCCACTACCAGTTGGACGAATTTAACTAGCTAGGTCAACTTTTCCTCGTCCACGTAGGCGCATCTGTTAACGATTTTTAGCCCGTGAGTGATGGAGTTGGATAGAGTGAAGTTCAGTGGCCAACGGGATAAATTTGAAAGTTCAGTGAGTAGTTCGTAATAAGGTGTAAAGTTCAGTGACTAATGAAACATTTTACTCTCGTAAATGTTGAAGACGAAAACTGAAGATATCCCAAATAAAAGTACAAATCTTTTTGCCTGCTAGCAAAGTGTGTAAGAAGTGTGGCTGCTACCCACTCCCCCACATTTTTGCAGGGTTTTGGGTTCTTAAAAGAACTGCCCACATTATTTCAGGGTTTAGGGTTCTTAAAATTTCGCCTCTTCTGTTCTCTTCTTTACTATCCCACCGGGCAAATTTATCATTTCAAATTTAGGGAAGAAAAAGGAAATCAGGATTTCTATTTTTTCCTGGTCAGGAAAAGTAAAAGTAATTTTGCAGTGAGAGGAATTCATCATTAATGGCCGCGATTGATTTGTTCTGCAATCCTTCATCTCTTTGCATTGATAGACCAAGCCTCAGAGTTGGTTACGGTTGTTATTCAGGGGAAGGAAAACTAAGGAGGAGTGGAATTACGTTTATGGCTTCCTCTGTGCCCGTAAAAGAGGAGAGTCGGCCGCATTTGGGCTGCTCGGTGACTGGAGATTCGTTTATTCGGCCTCATCTCCGCAAATTATCCCCCTATCAGTCGATTCTGCCCTTTGAGGTTAAGCATTTAGCTTTGTTTTTTTTCCCCTCTTTCTGAAGTATTTACAGCTTCGAATGTCATATGTTTTGATTTGGTTTTTGTGTTCAATTCACGTGCATAAACGTTGCTTGATATCCGTTGTTGAACATGAAATAGCAATTTTAGACCTGTTCAATTGTAGTGCAAGTTACTTTTAATTAAAGGAGACAGTAAAAAATTGAAAATTTCTCCCCTAAACTGTTTTTTCCCTTGGAACAAGACACATGGGAAGTTGAAAACTTTCCTGCATCAGTTGCTTTATTTTTCCTCTCTAAAATTAAGGAAAGATAGGAGACTAAAGAAAATGGGGGCACTCAAAAAAGATTTGACTTTGTTATTTTTGCCTATTTATATGACTTGTAATTTGTGCATTTTGGTATTTGCTAAATTTCCATCTAAAGTTTATATAGATGAAGGATACTACGAGTATCTTAATTGTTAATGTTGGTGAAATGTACTATAATGTAAACATTCAATTCCTTGTTACATGAATCGTGTGAAGTCCATGAGTTGGTTTTCTTATCATTGTGGTACATGTCCAGATGTCCTATAGCTGTTGAATTCATGTTGTGCTCCGATTTACACTCTAGAATATTTTTGTTTTCGAGTTGATTGATTATATTCAAACAAACGGTATGCTATTTGTCAGGATGATTATGTCGTTCTTTATTTTCTGTCCCAAAGCTGAAGGTATGTTTGCAGGTATTGTCTACACAACTTGGTAGGAAGCCTGAAGATATCGTAAAACTTGATGCGAATGAAAACCCATATGGTCCACCTCCAGAGGCAAGGCTATGTTGAATCAAGTCTTCTTTTATGGATGATACCAAATATTAAATTCCATCTCCTGGCAGGTTTCAATTTTCTCTGTGCTTTTTTTTTTTCTAACTATATCTCAATTTCTTGTAGGTTTTAGAAGCTTTGGGGTCCATGAGATTCCCTTATATTTATCCTGATCCTGAAAGCCGTAGTTTGCGAGCTGCACTTGCTGAGGATTCAGGCATTGAATCTGAATATATTCTTGCTGGATGTGGTGCAGATGAACTGATTGACTTGATTATGCGGTTTGAGCAATGTGCTTTTTGAAATTTGTTTGTCTTTTTATTTTTATTTTATATAGATTTAGTTTTACGAAGTTTGTTCTGTATGTATGTCTTGTCTTTTTTGATTTGCCTGCAGCTGCGTATTGGATCCTGGCGACAAAATCGTGGACTGCCCACCAACATTTACGATGTATGAGTTTGACGCAGCTGTTAATGCTGCACTTGTCATCAAGGGTAGGTCCATTCTTTGTCGATTTCATAGCTCATCTACCTTAATTTCTTACATTGAGTCTGATTTTGCATTTTTTATATGGATGATTTGATTTGTTATGTAAGTTCCTCTCCGTCAGTTATCCTTGACATTCTCATTTTCCTAGCCTTATGCCTAATATCTTACCAGCAGTTAGAATTAAAATAAAATGAGTTTCAAGACAGAAATGTTGAGGTATATATGCTATTTGTGTATGTGTATATATATATTGATGCAGGATCAATAGGGAGTTAATTATCAAACTAAAAGAACAACAGAAGAGAAAGAAGAAGAAGAAAGTTGGGGAGAAGTCGGAAGAAGAAAATCAGGGGAAAGGGAAGAAAACGTTGGCTGGAGCCATTTCATATCATCATATTCATTAACTGTTTAAATAATAACGTCAAAATCATATAAATAGTAAAAACCTAGCTAAGTGATGGATTTGGGCCAACCCACTACTACAAGCTCAATAACAATAAAAATAGAAAACATAAATGATGAAATCCAATAACAATAAAAATTAAGTCTTGGTGATATCCGCATCAACTCTCTTGAGGTGAGAGAAAACTTGACCCTGTCAAGTGGATAAACTTCTACCACGGGTGGCGGTCCTTCGTAAGAACCAAATACTGAAATTCTACGCTTGATGGTAACGAAAACTGTAGCTTATTCCCAAGAATATGGTTCGGCCAAGGAGGACGATCTCTCCATCTAATCAAGTACCAATACTGGACTCTGAATAACAAATGAGCAACTCATTTGTTACACTTTCATTTGGTTGTGCATAATGAGGAGCATAAGAAGCTAGCATCGCAGACATGGTATGAAAAGGCGGTCCTGAGGCGCGCCTCAGTGTGAGGCGTATATGTTTCGCCTCGAGGCGTTTGTTTTTGAGGCAAAAATAGGAGGCATGCGCCTCTAAAGCTGAGGCGCACGCCTCACGGCTCGCGCCTCTCTTAAATTTTTTTTTTCTTTTCAAATTTATTAATACAAATTAGAAATAGCATTTTTTTAAAGAGAAAAGGGCCATTTAAAAAGCTATTTTTGGCCCAAACAAAGCAACAAAAAACCTAGAAAAATAAATGATATAGGAAGCCAAAATTTCAAAAGAACTGAAAAGTCAGAAAACCAAAAAAAGGACCGTCTTCTTCATCTTCTGCTCTGGCCGGCCTCACTGGTTTCATTCATCAGGTATTTCTTCTTCTTTCTTCTCCTCCTCCTCCTCCTCCTCCTCCATCTACTGTATCATATCACTGCATTCATCTTCTAGTTGTGCCGACGTCACCTGGTTTCACTGTCTTTCATCAGCCATCGGGCATTCGGTTCAGAACAAATCTTGCATGCAATAACCAGCATTCATTTCGATATTCTGCACCAGTTTTCTAATGACCAATGTGAAGCATTTACTTAATTTTTTGTTAAATAATCATCTCATTAATTATTTTTTGTCTTGTTCACGTTACCGTGCGATATTGCATCAGTTGTTATAGACTTCAAAATCTGAATTTAATTGAACTTTTGTCTGACTTTCGGTACATCGAATATTCAACAAATCTCGGGATAAACACTCCAGGATGATTAGAAGTTAGTTTTACTGTTTATTTTTGCTCATATGCGTGCAAAAAATCATTTTATAGGTTCCATGACATTGACTTTCTTTCTGGAATTTGGTTCTGGAATTCATTGTGAGAGTACTTATATACCAATAATTGTACCAACATGCTTCTGGAATTCATCTGTGTATGCATATATGATGTGTTAAACTGATAATTAAATTTGTTAAATAGACTCACAACTTTTATTTTTTGTATCATTTTATAATTCTCACTTAGATTTTTTGTTTTTGATGAGGCTTACGCCTCAAACCGCCTCGAGGCTTACGCCTCGCCTCAAAAAGAAAAAACGCCTCAGTACTTAGTTCCGCCTTTTTAAACTATGATCCCAGATTGGCCTGTAGAGAAAAATAATCGCAACATCGAAGGCTCGAATGGGCTCCGATTAGTAAACAATTCTTCTGTATTGAAAATATAACTTTTATTTAAGTGAGGTGGCCAGTCAAATCGAAAATCTTTATGTGAATGATCCAAAAACTTTTTCTTCACATTTTTAAGAAAACGGATAAGAGAAATGCGCAATAAAGTATAGTAATTTGTAATAGGGTACTCTAACTTATATTGCACCTCGAAAGTAAGTTCAAAAATTTCATGATTGAAAATGATTTGACCTCTTAATTTGACATGACATTTAAGAACATTGTCAATACGATGATTAGCTAACAAAGCATATCGATAATTAGTGAACATCCTAATGTCGATAGGAAGAATGTGCAATCGAGTAATGGTCTTAGAAAACAATGTGGCAACTCATGGAATCTCATGTAATTGAGGGAACACTAAAACAAATTCAACATGAAAGTCATAACCTAATAGGCATGAAATCTAGGATATCTGAAATGTCTGACTTTGATGATATGGCTTTAGGTAACTTCTCAACTATGTTAATGTTACGTGTATCGGTTACAGATGTAGTCACGATAAGGGACACAATACACTGTTCACAACTCTCGACTTTCGGGACAATGGAGGAAAGAACTGTACTATAATCATTTAAATAAACTCCTAAAGATTTTATAGCTCGTGACAAGTAAGGTTTGATTGTGTCAACACACTTCTCAAAAAGTCTTTCCACCACACTAAATTTAATAGGAGAACTCTCCCTATGTTTATTTTGAATACTATCCAAAAGAAGGGTAATCAAATCTAGAGGAATATTGTCACTTTTTTCCAATGTAAAGATATAGTCTCTAGGGATGTGAAGACATTCCCTAAATGATTTCCATTTCAAGCTACAAGAAAGTATTGGAACATGTCAATTATCATACGTTCACAATCTAGGTCCAACATGATAAGACAATACTTCGCATTAGCCATAGTATATAGTATCCTAACTGCCGTAGCATACAAATTGATGGATGTGCTCGTGAGAAATGCAAATGATGATATAATCGAGGGATAAATGTCTTGTATTATTTCATCACGGAAATGGGGATCCGGTGCTGTGATGCAGAATATTTCACCAAGGCAAGAAACAACTGCTACTTGTATAACAAAATCAAGATGTCTTAATAGTTTATTTGAGACCAATACTGTGCTAAGTGTATTAATAGATGTGAGCATGAAAACAACATGCAATTGGTCCACTTGGGAAAGCAAATACTCAACATATTCAAGTAACGATAGGAGCTCATTAAAAAGTAATGAAGATTGAAGAAGTTTCCTTCCATTTATTAACAAGTGGA